AGCCAAATGTCAATTTCTGCTTCAACAGACTGGAAAATATCAAGGAACAGGCCACCGAATGAAGTGAGCTCAGTTTGCACAGCCCTAGCCCTTCCAATCGTTTTACTTTTCCAATTCAAAACTCGCTGCTGGTCGCAACTATCTAGGATACCCACAGTACAAACTCAGCCTTTTCTGCGCCTCCGATTGGTCACAATGAGAAAAAACTGATCAAACGCGGTGATTACGACGGAAAGGCAGCTTATTGAAGACAAGAGAGGTGGCCGGTGGTGTAGTGGTGAAGAAAAACAGTAAGAAACGGTCCAGAATCCAAGAAACGGGCCCTTCTTTGCCCGTTGATTTCCGCATTGATGCGACTCTCATCGGTGCTGCTCTCTTCAGTTCCAACGCTATCTCTCTCTCTTTGAAGCGGCTAGAGTCAGGCGGCAAGGGGATGGGCGCACAGTTGCGCGAGTAGCCCAGTTATCGCCCCGTTAGGCCGCTGGGACCTTTCGCTGCGAAACGCACATGGTCTTCTTAGGGGGTTGCCTGCCTTCCGACTAGGAATGTTTCCCCTTCCTCGCCTTCCGAGCTATTGTGGACACCCCTTAAAGGCTCAATGACGCAACTAGTGCGCCATGCACTTCTGGAATCATATCCGCACATTCGATTCAGTGTGTAGGGAGTGTGCAGTGAATGGAAGCAGTGGATGGCATTCGGCGTTGGATAATTTCTATGGAGGATGCGCCATGAATTCGACTTTGCTAAGAATCACATCAACATTTGAGTATTACTTGTGTAGAAGTGATTTGCGCTGGCTACCGCGTCATCGTTTTATCTGCCTAAGCTAGTCTGATGTTCAGTAAACCGACCCCGCACTTATGGAATTCTTGCTTTGACGGAGCAAGATTCGATCCATCGCATGATTTTCTGGGCCGGCGCTTGCCGCACCAGTACCCACCTTGCTATCAGAAATATTATCATGCTGAATATTAGTGGTTATTTTATGTAACTCAAGCCTGGATCGCGTTTCAATTTTTTTGACCATTTCCTATAAATTTTCTCTGTTTACCTTCTTTGTTCATGTAGTGATTACCGCACTAACGCAGCTGCTTTCTATGGTGTCCATGCTGATTATTTTACACAACAGATTGGTCCCCCGGCAACTGCGGTACCTTCCTTCCCTGCTCAAGCTTATAGCTTCAGCTTATGGCTTTATGGTTTTAGCTCGTCGAGCTGATAGAGAAAGAGACCAAGCGCAAACGTTCGATGAGGCCTACTTACGTAAATGAAACCTAGTTGTAGTTCTACGGAAATCCTAGAGGTATGGACCTATTGAAAAAGTCTTGGTAAAACGAGGAGAAGACGTCACCATGAAGTGTCAAAGTCAAATAACGGTGATTTTGTGGCGCGAAAGTTTGATGGTTCACAGAACTTGACTTTTGAGATGTCCATACTTTAGGTACTTAGTGTAGAAGTACATATATTGAGTTACAATATGGAGTCCGTCCGAAAGTCCTGAGACACTTGAAAGCTGTTTTAGATTTGGCACTCATGTCGTTATTTGTGGCGGACGTTCCAGTAAGTGAGCCAGTTACAGTACTTTAGGACTAGGCCTTGGAGAGGAGAAGGGACTTTGAAGGAGGATTTGAGCGATTCTCGTTTTCCCTGGCGTTTCCCCCTGTCCTGGGCTCAGTCGGTTTGAAGGTCCTGTTCTCCTCTCCTAGAAATAAAAAGATTATGTTTTTGAATATTCGGCAATTGCGATGAAATTCGATGAGCTTCTTCTGCGCAAAGAAATCGAGAAAGGATATCATTTCATCCCGATTCTATCGTCTCTGACCTGGGCACTGTCATGATGAATGTAAAAAAGCATGCCATGCACAGGTAAGAAGTCACCGCTCTAGTCCGGCTCTTTGGCAGGGACATATAGGAATTTCTGTGCGAGAGAGGCGCAGGATTTTGCTTAATGCCAATTTTCAGCCAATTCTACTCGGAGTGAGTTCAAGACTAGACCAGATATTAAAGCTGGTCTGTTTATTGAGAAGTTGGCCTGATGCCTGGCCTACCGCACACTGATCGTGCCTTATGTGCCAGGCATGAGTGGAATCAGGCCGACCGACTCTAAGGTAGAATTTCGGCCAGGGACTGACATGCTTCTAGACATTCCTACGAAATGGCTCTATGGATTGATTGTCGGCTGAGCCACAAGCGGAATATACGGAGGACTTCTATCTCGGGATGCAGTGGAAATATCCCAAGAACAAACGTTATAGGATTCTCGGGACAATCTAAACGGCCCAATAGTCGTCATTATATACTGTAACTAAAGGCACATGTGCAGCATGATTATTGTAACTGAAGACTTTATGTGATAACAGGGTTCCGAATCGAGAGAGGAGGCATTTTCTGGGAATAAACTAGACAGGGACTTAGAGCTTTGAACTTGCACAGAAACATTTTATCATTCACGCCATGTTGTGATGTCGGGGGGGTGTCTCTCTCCGGTTGCTACCTCCTCCCTCTCAAGCTGTTTGTCCCTTAGATCTCCTTTGTCCAAGAAAGCAGGCCTGTATGGCGCGTGTTTTCAGTGGCTTCCTTTCCATTTCTGACCCTGGCAGGTCAAATAGCCCCAACTACGTCGTATTTGAACTCCATATTGAACCGTATTTGCAATTGCGAAGGGTGCTTTTAAGTCCATGACTGCATTCAAGGTTCATTACAAGGACTCCGTGACGTGTTGGAAGGGAGAAGGATCAGGTTGCTAAGCTTCTTAGACATCTGGCTATCCCTGCTTTCCTTGCTGGAATCCTCAACCAGTAACTAACTATTTAATTCCGCATGGCTATAGGTATTGGGACATTAAGGTGGACGACCAGCCATGAGTAAACAACACTGGAATAATTCCTCTCCAGGGGTATTGTTAGATACATGGGTATTGACGTGGAGCTCGCCCAGCCATTGTTGGACATGGGAAAACAGCCATGAGCGATTCCATATGGCGATTTTGAATGTGGATTCGTAATTATATTGAAAATTTGATGACCCATGATGGGTTACCCACACCTTGGACGAAGCAGGTGCTTGTCCGTGGGGACTTCTCCCACTTGGGGTCACCCCTAGCGTTGGTCCTTCTTCGAGAGTTCTATGACCTTCTCTTCAGATGAATCTCGATACGACTCCCCACCACCACTATCAGTATCAGGAAGGCTCCCCAATACGACCCTTCCGACCACCCCCCTTGACCCTGCTCCCAGGTACGTTCGCCGAATAGGGACCGCACAATTGCCGGTGCAGATTGGGCTTGCTCCTGCAAGTGTTGTCGACGTCGACGCCGTCAACGAGGCGAATTCTCACCAGCCGACGGCCGCGCGCGTCGTCATGGTGAAGTCGTCGGTGTGGCAGCGCGGTGGAGGCTACACCACGAACTATCGCCATCGGCGGTGAGAATCGATACCGCTCTTCGTCACAAATCGTTTCTCTCCTTTATCAAGTGCTTTTTACCAGTTAATTCAATAGACCAGTGAGTTTATAGGGGCGAATAGTGTCGCCAGTCACATGGAAAGGCTTTGGCTATTTGTCTCTAGGCAGCTACCCGCAGCCAATCCCAGATACCTGCTTGTCGTTCCCAGAAACCATCCTGCCTCCCAATGGGAGATTTAGTCAGTTTTGGTGCATCCTGACACACTTTAAGCAGCAATACTGCTCCTGAACACATTTTAAGCAGACAAGAACTGCTGTTTTCCGTTGTCCTCTATAACTCAGGGTTAAGTTCTGTGTTTTGCACCTTGTTGTATCTTTTTCTTTGATTAAAAATTATGGCTACAGCATAATATTCTATTTATACTCGTATTTTTGATGGAATTGCATAAGTCGAGTGCGTGGCGCATCCTTCTAAATGAGTTCCTTCTCTATGCTCTAAAGCAAAACGGTAGAGCTGCGTTGCTTGAATAACTGTGGAGTGCGCCATGGATTTGACTTTACCCGCGACTATCAAAGCGTTTGAATGCGCACGGCGCCAGCGAATTTTTTTGAGTCAGTGTTTTGTTCTTCTAGACGAAAAAATCTTTTAACCATCTATGGTTGTTCTAGAGGGTTGGAGGGCTACCTTAATGTCTCGTCTCCCCTTTTCAGGTTTCAATCTGGACCAGGTTCAGATCCTAGCGAACCCTTAGAGCGCCCTTATTCTCCGCACGTTTCGTGGGAGCGTTTTCTGCTCGAAGTTCAATGAGTTCTCGTAGAAAAAGTGATCGAGCAAGAAAAATTGGAAGAAAGTACATTACTGTAGGCAATATTTTCTTTAGTAGCCAACATTCTCTTTATTTTATTATTTTACTACTTTTGTAGGGTGTGTCGCTAGGTCTGCTTTTTAGCTATGCGAATATGCTTTCAGCAAAAAGTGAATTTTTTCTGAATGAGTAACACATGTGCTAAGTAGGGCTTTTCAACGGGCAGTAGGAGTAGAGGGAGAAAGCTTAGGACGTTTTTTGCTTTTAACTTTCAAACCGTACTTTCTCCACGGGAGCTCTATAATTTTTCCCTAATCGGGCCTACCGACCATCAGAGAAATTGGTTTTTATTATCAGCCAAAACTTGAAAAACTGAAGTTGTTTCCACGCGTTCGTCTGACGCTATTTCAAGTGTTACGCTATTTTTAGATTTGCTTATTAATTCCAACTTCACCTGTCAGTAGTGGATTTCGTTTTAAATATGTGTACAGCCTTGCTTGCTAATTTTATAGTTTATAATTTTTGATAGTTTATTCTAGGTTACTTCCCAGAGAATTTCTATGGCTTAAGCTACGAATTCGGTTGTTTTTGATGAAACCAATTTTCTCAGTCACTCAGAAGAGCTTCATTCCGGAGTGTGCCGTGTATTCTAATTGCATTGAAAATGTACTAGCAATTTTATGTTCATTTTGCCTATGAAATGAATTGCTCTGCATACTAGTGACCAAGCCAACATTGACATAATCTTTGACCAGCCTTCTACTGTCAACTTAAGAGGCTGTAGTTACCGCCATGGATGAACATGGAATCTTCCGTGAAGGAGACAGTCTTTCATCAAGCGTCGCGATACCCTCTTGCACCCTACGTCCCGCCCCCGACAGCTCCGCCCACTGTGCAAAAACTGCTTATTCAACAGCAAAATATCATGTACACATGCTCAATGCAGATGTAGCCCTACTTTGTTGGTCGGATGGCAGCGCCCTTCAAATTGGCAGCCCTACCCAAATGCAATTTGTGAACTTGGTGCGTACCTGGTTGCGTATAATCAACCCACTTTTGATGCGCTAAGATCCTGTTTCTTCTGAATCGTTGGCGTATTTTATTGCGTATTTGGTGTATGAAGTAATCTCATAAGGACAGTTTATACTTGACGACGACTATGGGTGAGGCTCAAATAATATCAAAGGGAAATCAATCGAAAGTAGCGCAGCGTTTGAGGTCTCTTACTCAAATACACTTACGTTAGAGCAACCAAGCATTCCATCCTCTGTAAAAGATCCACTAATCAATTTTCGAGTTGTTCAAAGCGGTAAAAGTCACTTGGTTTCGACTATGGTTGTCCTTTGAACGATATTTTATAGGTGAGGGCATTCATTCGACTCGAATTCAAAATCAGGCGCTATCGCAAGATATAGGGGCATTGCGGGTAGCAGAAGCAGTGGTAGCAAGCATTCATGACCACATAAAACATCTCTTCTGTTGACAACAGGACTGAGCCTCAGGCAGGTTAGGGACGACTCGTGGGCGCGTGAGAGATTTCCATTTTCCCAACGTTCCTGCCCCTTTCTATCAACCTTTTCCTACCTTGTTTGTTCAGTATTTCGATGTATTTGAATGGGTACTGAATCTCAGTCAGATAATTTTACGGGACTATGGCATATTTTATTCTTTGATGTTCTCTTAAACTTCCCTTTGAATCTTTTGGGCTACATAACCTGATCGAAACATGATCTACCAGAACATTCTGTCAACCTTTCCCTACCTTGTTTGTTCAGTATTTCGATATATTTGTTTAATTTTCATGTTCAGAAAGGGGAAGGGTACTGGATGGCAACCAATGTGACCGTAGAAATCCTACGTTTATCGATCTACACTCTCGCGATCATCTCAGCCTTTTTGTGGACTACACTTCATGATCACTCCATCACTCCATTCTCTAGCCGTTTCTTTTAGAATGCGCCACGCACTCCGTTTCGACTCGAAATCGTAGACATATTTAGATGTGTAACGCACCTATTCCTTGAATATCTTGTCGGGGTTAGCTGAAGTTTGAGGCATTGTCTCCTGGCAGTGGCTTTTACCGTCTCCTAAACAACTACCAATCCCGATGGTTTAGAGACCTTGTCAACTTGGACTGGATTTATTCTCCAAGTCAAATATTTCTCCAGCGGCGCTTTTTACCAGTTTGCTACTTCCGCCACAGATTTTGCACGGGGGTTCAGTCTGACCAGGAAGTGAGAAGGGTTTCATTTCCTTCTGTTCATGTTTTTTTCTTTCATTTGCGGACTAACTTACCGTATTCCCTGTGAGATTCTGGTCGAGATGAAATCGGCTGTCGATGACGTTGGCTGGATAAAACTTATTGAAGTCTTTCAGAATGAATGACAAAACATTCAACAGGCCAGATATAGCCACATAGGCCACCCCAATCCCCATTTCCTTTTTTGTCTGCGTCGGTCCTTTTTCATTTTTTCCTCCCCTTCAGTCTATGTTCCTCTGCGTCTTCATATTGCTGCCCCCAATGCCTTTCTGGAGAATAATCCTGGTTCTGATTTTGTATTTGTCCGCAGATTATTCATCCTACCGTAACCAATTTATTGCAAATAGCATCGTTTTCAGACGGGTATTATGACGGAGGACGTGGATGGCCACGTCTTGGACAAGTATGAGCTGCAAAAACGACTCGGTAAAGGTGCTTACGGTATCGTATGGAAAGCGATTGATCGCCGAACGAAGGACGTTGTCGCTTTGAAAAAGGTGATTTTTTGAGGAGCGAATTCTTAATTTTTAACCTGATTTTGATAAATTGAAGTTCTTTTTTCTTTGATTTTTCTGGCTTCTGGATTGCAACTCCACTCTTTCCCTTGTCTTTATCAACTTTTTTGTTCTCGTCCGAGCTATCACAAAACTTCATTACAAATTTTTGATTTTAGCACCGCCCACCGCCACGCCCCTCCTACCAGCAGCATTGACCGCGAATTTTTTGCTGGTCTATGTCCTATTTTACCCCAACGCAGAGCCTTACATAATAATACTAACCTTTCTTTTACGTTTCGAGCTATTGTTGGCGTAAACACTATTAAGGGTGCAGAGCGAACTGCGCTGTCATAATTCGCATCTGGAAAATTCGATATCTGTTCCGAATTTCAGATCCGGCAATTTAGCGCAACGGAATGCCTTCGAATTTGGATAGCCATATTCACCTCTGTTTATCCGTAGTTGAACACCTTTTGATGCCACGTCCAACTATTACATTCGGTTTTCGCGTTCCGATTTCCGGAGCTCGTCACTGCTAAAATTATTCGCACTTTTTGTAAACTTTTTTTTTCACTGCCCCGTTTTGGTAGGTTACACCGATGCCCGTGTCCCTTGGACCCTTCGTGTTCCGAACAGTGCAACGTTTAATTGCAAGGAACCAAACCGGGGTGTGTTCGTAAGTGTTTGAATAATCATATGTGAAGGCGAACATTTCTAGTGAATAACTACTATTTACATCATGAAAATTGTAGGCTTGAGGTCTTGTTCTCGGAAATGTATGCTTTCTTGGGTAGTCGATTTCCGTGAGGACAGCAGATGAATAAAAAATGGGCCTAGTTAGAGGACGAATCACATTTTCTTTATCGCTCCATGAAATCACGGCAACAAACAATCCCATACGTAATGTAACTGGGTTTGCAGCGTCCAGCATGGCAAGGGCGCTAGGAGCTCACATTTTGCATCCATAAACATACTACAAGCATGTGTGCATGCCTATCGTTGCAAACGCATCGGTGCCTGCGTCTCACTTATCCTCCATACTATCTTGCCTCCGTGTCTTTTCTCTCTCCTCGGTGCCCAGCATCTCTTATCTTGTTCTGCATGAAGACCTCACCGTCCACTTCCTCTTTTTATTTTGGCGAATTTTTCCTTAAATTTTTGCTTTCGCATTCGGTTGCACTCACTTTTGCACCGTGTCACTCCGCGACAAGAAAACTTTCCCTTTATGTTGGAGGAAATGAAAAAGCACGCAGTTTGTCCAAATTCCCCCAGTGATTGTAGAATGGGTCCGTATCGAGGCAACGTGCTCAAAGTGAGCGAAACATTATGTATGGCAACAGGTTTCTATTTTAGATTACGCCACGTTGAGTGCGGGTCAATACCCATTCTATTCTGATCAATTTAGGCCACGCCCCCAACTCCTAGGATGCGCTTTGTAAGAGTTTTTCCGTTGAGAAACTTTTTCCGGCGGATTTTAGCCTACAACCTGCCATAGTCATCCGTCAGTCACATAAGGAGCCATAAGGAAAGGTCCGCGCTCCCGAACGACGCCTCTGAAGCTCCTTTTCCGATATTCTGAACGGAATTTCGATGGTTTCTGCGCTGGACGTTCTATAAAAAAGCTGAAGATAATGCCTTGATGGGGATAAAGCAAAAAAAAGTGATAGCAAAAACGTGAATATGGTTAGGATACTAGCCAACTGCTCAAGTGTTCCATATTCATTCCGATTTCCGCTTTCCGAACTCGGAACTATTGCTAAATAATAGGGAATTGGTAACGATTTACAGAACGTATCTGCTCTAACCATAAAATTTTCTGCCACTGCTCCTAGGTAAACTAAACTACCGCAAATGCGGAGTGAAATACTATGTTAAACGCTAAACAGAACCCGCGCCATGTACGAAACATGCTTATCATTCCATGACAGTTCAAGGGAAAAGTCTAGAAAAATGCAGAGTAGTTGAAAAATATATAAGGTTTGGACTGAACGATTCTTTTTATTCGATCTCGATAATTTTTGGATGGCTCATGAAAAAGAAAGGAACTGTTGTAGTTTAGAATTCGTCGCGACACAAGTAAGCTGGCAATAGAAGTCCTGAGATCTGGAGAGCATGCTAAAAGAGTTCTTCTCGTGCTGGGCCCGCTAGTCCTGGGGGCGTGGCCAAAATCTCATGAACCGAATGTGTTAGCTCGTGCGGGCGGCGTGATTTTGAAAGCTTTGTTTGGTGCGCTATTTTTTGAATTTTTTTCGGCTCTACTGCAAGCTGTTCTTAGGACCGGTAGGGGGGCCATGGAAATGTAATAATTCTTGCATTTCTCAAATTTTCCTAGCAAAATAGCACAACTACCTTTACTTTTTGACAAAATACAGCTTCGGTTCACCATGATGTACAAAAGATGGGAGCTAATAGTTACTAATGAGCATCGAGATCAATCAGTACTTATTTTATTTTATTAGTAGAATATTCTAATTTCAGCGTACCGCCTATACTGATTAAGCCTACTGATCGAAGATGGGAAGCATGAACGTGGCCCTGCCTATTCACGCAAAATTAGGTGACACTTAAAGCGCCCGATCGGTCTTGTGGAGAATGCAGGAACAATCAACACCCTGGTTCTCATGAACCTAGCAATGACATCTTTTATAGCTGTGCTATACCCTGTCATTTACTTCCGTTGACGTAAGCGCCCGGTTTTTGTCACTTTCAAAAAGCTCTTGAAAGCGTTTTGTCATCGCAGGTCATTAACGTATCCTCAAAGTTGCTGCAGAGTGCTCGAAATCGAGCGTTCCCAGATATAAAAAAAAAAGGGGACGGATAAAAAAAAGGGTGGAAAGATAAAAAAGAAATGGGGAGAAGGAGGAAAAGAGGTGGATGGGGGGATAAAAAAAAAAAAAAAGAGTGGGGGACGGGAAATTTGCGACAATTCGCGCCGGTCCGTACGTACATCCTAGTTGCGCATCGTGCAGTGAAACGTGCTTTTTTTTCTTTATGACTAATTTCACATGTATTTCCTACATGACTGAATTACGGAAACCGATTTCAGATATTTGATGCCTTTCGGAATCAAACAGACTCTCAACGGACATTCCGTGAAGTGATGTTTCTGCAGGAGTTTGGTCGACATCCAAATGTTATCAAGTTGTTCAACATTCACAAGGCTGACAATGACAGGTACGGTGGATTTTGTTTGAATTCACACAAAAATAGGTACCGTTTCTGACACGGACGACGGAAGTAGTGTGGTGGCAGGAGGCGTCGCTTACCACACCCACGGTTCAGGGTCAACGCCTGGTCGCACGCCGTCTGAGCCAGCCAAGGTTTACGTCCTTCCGGGGTGGATGATTGGTAGTAAACTTGTCTAGGAGGATGAAAACGTCGAATCGTGCAATATATCGGCCATCCATTTTGCTTATATAGGTCGATCGCCTTTTCAAAATGCACCACCATATTGTGATGCGAGTGGGTAGTGTTTGGCCAACCCAAATAAGAATGGGTGCGGTAGCGTTTGTCTCCATAGCTCAGTATCCCCAAATTATACGCCGTTTCATTCGTCAAAACAATTTTAGGACTAAGCCTAGGCCCAATCATAGGGTTACGCATAAGCCAATGTGTAAGCATAAGCCTCAACCTAAGTCTAAACCCAAACTTAACCTTATGCTTCAATGATCGCGCAACTGTGATGACCTGACCCAGGAGGAGAAACGCACGTCTCCCAAAAGAATATGAGCAACAGTGGACGAATCGTCCTCATTCCCTTCACACCTACCATACCCATTCCTTCCCGTTACCCTACCCCTCCGCCTCCTCCCTTCAAGCCCCACGGGGGTGTTTGTGACAAAAATTGGCAATTAAACAAAAGACTGATATCGCCTAAATTTCATAGCCTTTCACACTGTCAACTTTAGGTGTAATGCGTAACGGAAAATAAAAAGCTGATTATACATGCGTCGCACTTAAATCATTCCCACTATGGCTGTGCGTCATAATGGCAGTACAATTGACGATTGCAAGCGAATGCAGCCGGCAATCTGAAGAGCGGCTATCTATGTCGAATGCTCTACCCTCTGAATTTTGAGAGCCAACTTTTATCGTAGTTTCTTGAACTTGAAGCTTCACCAGTCTAGCTCTTGAAGGTTCACTTGGTTTCGTTCACCCTTCCTTAACCCTTTGACTACTGGTGGGACACATGTGTCCCACTTGGTAGTCAAAGACACTACCACAGTTATCAGGTCATTTGATGGCTAAATTGTGCACATATAGAAGCTTTCTAATTCTTACTATGACAGTTAATCGTCAGAAGCTAAAGCGAGTCATCCTGCGTAAGTTAATCTTTGACTACTGGTGGTACACATGTGTCCCACTTGGTAGTCAAAGTCACTACCACAGTTTTGGCACTTATTGAGATCGGACCTTCCTCGAGTGTAGTGAATCTAATCTCATTGGCATCGCTAAAACATGAAGCAGTCGTTATTGAACGTCCCTTTTGGGATGCGCCACGCATTCGTCTTCCATAGGGAATCGTAGTAGCATCCTTGGAAGCGATTTGGCCTACTTATGCGTGACTTGCGGTTGTATAAATGCGAAAGAGTTGCATATGACGGCGTATGTGTATGCGTTTTCTATCGTCCTAGGCAAGCCTGGTACCACTGGATCGACCCACGAAGGGTTTGGTTGCCCTGAGCCGTTTAAGGTCCGAGGATTTGATTCTGGTCCGTGCGCCTGGTAATCTGCCGCAGTCGATACTACATCATTTCCGCCCTGGAAACATCACATCAAATCAACCGCTCCCTCAAGGAGCCATTCAAGCTTTTTCCAATAAATATGGTTTTTTCAGCTCCATTTCAGAAGTTGGTGTAGTTGCGACCAAGACATCATGTTCTTCGTGTTGTTTTTATGGTACTGAATAGGGCTTTATTTTAGGGATATCTATTTGGTGTTCGAATACATGGAAGCCGATTTGCATAATGTCATCAAGAAAATGACCATTCTGAAGGACGTCCACAAGCAGTACATAATGTGTCAGCTATTCCGAGCTATTCGTTTTTTGCACAGCGGAAACGTGCTGCATAGGTAAGTAAAAGTGGATTGCGGAGCCGTTTTCTCTATAAAAGACAACCTGTCAACCGCGAGTCGACGTCAATGTCGTCAAAATCGTCGTCAAGCCCTGGGACCTGTCAGGAAATTTGGGGTGAAAAAATTACCGGGGTTGACGCTATTCCTGTGTACTCAATTGGACTTTACATGTGGAATTTTTTGAGGCATGTGGGTATTCTTTCAGGAAGAACGGCTTTTTTTCTTACGGGTACAACTGACACAAGGTGCTTTTCTAACTGATACGGTAACTCTAATTTTGGAAGGTGGCGTATCCAAGAATGGTTGCCGGGTGCAACGTGGATTACGGTGGGATCAATTCACAGTACTGACGAATCGTTCTTGTAGTGTGCTCTGTTGGCGCCGTGGGACAGCAAGCCCCGTTGGGGGATGGGTTCCCAAAACTACGCGTCTCTACTCTGGTCGATGGCGTAGTCAAGAATAAGGGGATGCGTCCAGAGAGGCAGAGTTTTGAGCACCCATTCCCGACCGGGGCTTGCTGCAGCCAGTCCCAGTCTAGCCGCTGACACGTATGTGAACATTTTATTTTGGGATCAGTGAGAGCTTGCCCCCGCAGACGTCAGACGGGTTGTCATCGTTACGGTAATTAACTCGATCTCAACGTGCCCTCCCCTTGCCATAGGTCGTGTTGTTCTAAGGGATAGAAAGGTCAGTTTAGGGCAGGGTACCTCTTTCAAAGCTCCAAAGGTAAACAAGGGGAAGGGGGGGTTAAGGTCAAGCGCTTCTTCCGGTTCCATCCGTCCTCTGTCGGTTGAAACCCTAAAAAGTGAAGCGAGCGTCATTTGGCCGGCCTGTGATATATTATTGATAGAATGGCCAGCGGAGGAAAAGGAGTCATTAGTAAGACCCCATGAAGGTTTAGTAGGAAGTATTCTGAGATTTATAACTTATGTACCTATTGAGTTTCTTTTACGTACCCTCACAACGAGCTAAATCACCACCAACGACATCTCCATGGATACCCCTCGTAGGCAATTGATCCGGGGAAAAACTCTGGTTTCAGTGCTGCTTGGAAATTCACGTGACATTTTTGAAGTATCCCTGGGGGCTGTTTGATAGGACATATTTGGGGAACCGTGTTCCCGTAGTCAGATACGCTTCTGATTCCCTTCAAATCGCCTTCTAGGAAGCCCCATGTCGACCTGAGTGTCCAAATCAGTCATGAGTGCACTAACGATAAGCGATTAGCGCTTTTAAGTCCCTAAGATTAATCCAATCCGGGTAGATAAATATCGTTTTTTTTTTCCTGAAGAGCATGCGGATGTGATGCTAAAGAGGCTCAATCGGCTACGTCAGCAGGAAAGATGCGTCCGTCTCTGGAATGACATGAGCTTCTTTGGGGCTGTAGGCATCTGGAACCGTACCTCTAACATCCCACTGGAAGCTTTCTGGGGGGGGGGGGGGAAGTAGTTTGGTAACTGGACGACCAGTAATGGGCTGAAAAAATGACCCTCAACAGAATTGTATACTGTACGCTGGTGCTGCTCAAAGAGTGCTCGACCCCTTGCTCTCTTCTATTGGTCGGCACCTCCTCCTTACCGAGTCAGGAGAGGATCCGACAATTCCAGGGCCCCCCTGCCCGGAGGTCCTTTATGATGTCTGACTAACCAATCGACCAATAGCCGTGCTTATTTTCATTTGGACCCAATGGCCCACACCTGGACATGTACGAAAAATTCCTTCGAGGCACCTCCCTTAAAAATATAGATATTGATCGGTTAGCGCTGCAGGAAAGTCTCTTTCTCAAGCTGTAACATATTTTTTACTGCTTCCTAGGAACGCACTCAAGCGTGTCCGTCACCTCCTGGCGTTCACAAGGGTGTGTGACCGCCTGATGACGGAAACGATTAAGCGCTTTTCTACCGCGAAAGTGCTGCCGTGAAACTCAGCGAATAACGCAGGAAATTCTCCCAGAATTACGTCATTCGAAAAAAAAGTGGCCCGATTGGGAACATAGCAATAAATTGTGCACTTGCTGGGTCGAGAGACGCTTGAGGATCAGGGACTTGGCTCCAAAGACTAGTTTATCCCAATTGAATCTTCGAATCCCGCCTTAGTAGCCATGGCAATGTACAGAGGAAATAGTAATAATTACTTGGATTGGGATGAGTTTGGCTGGCGCTCTTGGTTACCTTCCTATGAGCCAAAATAATTGCTGGCATCCAGCAGGAGACTAGGAACTACCGTAATCTATAAGAATTTAAAATATAACGATGATATTTGCAGAGACCTGAAGCCATCAAATGTGCTGCTGGATGCAGATTGCCGTGTAAAATTAGCCGATTTCGGACTGGCACGATCGCTTTCGTCGGTGAGTACCATATCAAATATGATACGAGTATTACAAAATTATCACCTATCGCTTCATCTACTCACTATTTCATGTTATTATGCATTATCATCACTATGAATTACCCATTTACTTTTTGGGGTGATTTCACTCAGTTATCATTCTGCCAACCAAATTTGCCTATACGGTAATCATTATCACCATTATTTGAGAATTATTGATTACATTACCGACTAGCGATTATTATTTCTAATGAATTACCATTACATCATTTATCAAATTGTCATTGCCGTGATTGAATTATGAACTTAGCATTAGTTGTCACAAAATGGTGTTCAATGTCGAGCATTCCAAGCGCAGTTCGAGCATGCTTAGCAACATGAGGTTTGGGGCGGTCTTGCGGAAGGCTTGGTTTGTCGGCATCAGAGGTTCAATAACGTTTTTGCAACGTCGATTTTTCGTAGTGCGTTATTCATCTCATCTTAGGAGGTAGTTCCACAACCACTGGTTTTTTTTCAGTTCCAGTTCTCTTTATTTATTCCTCCTTTTCACATGTTGTAGAGGGTATTTTAGCGTTCTAACCTACGTGGGGATCCAAGCGACGTTGACGTCTACTTGTCTGCATTCTGAGACTTTAATCAAGGATCTTACTATTTTCCTATATCTAGCAGTTTCAAAGGGCGTATACGGGATTTAAGCCTTGCAGAAAAAGCCGTACAAGGGGTCGCCGAGTGCGCTCGCGGCGTGTCTCCTCCCCCCCCATACGTTAGTACCGTTATTATTTGTTCCCAACATGTACATGTTTTTTTTTCGTTCTGGCCATTTTTCTCTTTATTCAGAGGTTATTCGCATTTCCTTTTGTTTGCCTTTCTAATTCTGGCTTAGTAGAATCATGTGATCACTACCGTTTCACAATAATTATTTTTCTTTCTGAAACTTTTCGTTAATAGGTGTTGTGTGTTCTGGGGCTGAGATTTGGGGTATTATTTTAGGATGGAGGCAATTGCTGTTTGTTCCATCACTTCGTAACATTTTGCTATAGTTTCTTCCAGCTGAGGATATCCTGAAGGTCAGAACATCGAATTAACGAGTATGTGCTAGCCAGGTGATCGTAAGCTGAAATTCCTGCTGTGCCTAAGCCCGTCAAAGGGTCGAACATGATGGAGCTTGGATGTATCCTGGCGCGAGATGTTGCTAGGTAATATTCTGATTTATTTGTCTTTCCTTGTATTCCAATTTCATTCATCTTCGATCAATAATTATCTTTTTCACAGCTCTCGTCAAATCGAGTAAGACCAGTGAAAAATTTAAAGTAACCATTGATCGTGCTTTTATATCGCTCACGACTAACAAGTTAGTTAGCTCGCTCAAAACTGTTAAAACTTGTCGGCCAAAAAGTTCACAGCTCGATTCGTCGTAGCTGAAGTTATACTCAGCGTTTTCGCAGCGAAGATGCGTTTTTCTTTCGACAAAGTAATCCACGCTACAGACTTCGTCATCAACGCTCGTGCCAAACAGCAGACGGCGGTGCCTCCTACCAGCTTTCGTCACTCATAACTTAGCCTTAGTGTAATCTAGAACTGCTTTTTGTGGGTGCGGAGCGGCCAACGCCAGCTGCAATCTCCATGAGCATGGAGCAGGGTGTAGTGAAGTAGCAAGTGATGCTGTTTAGCATTTTCATGGGCTTGGGGCCGCAATCGGGTCGAATCCAGTTCAGACTAACCGAGCCACGTATCTCTCCGAGGTTGACCAATTGATACCCGACTCGTCTGTAAGGGTTAAACTTGGCTCCACAAGTCATTCTATAAACCAAATCGCACTCAAATGCCTACAATGTGGTCCCAAATGGAGTACTTGGCGCAACTTAGGAGGGGTTGATTAGCCCTGATTCATCCGTCTTTTACTTCGCCTTTGCGGGTGCAGCCTAAGAGGCTCGTGATCAGCCAGATGGCCCAATAATATTTTAGGGGTCCAGTTGAAATTACCGTAATACTTACAGTACGACCGGAGGGTCGGGCAATGTATTGTGAATTTGAAATGCCTTGGTGATACAGTAGTTGTTACGCTAGCATCATCATATCACTTCTGTTTGTGGAAATATCGACGCCTAAATTTTGTAGGTTGTACTGACTTCAGGTCGAGCATTGTTTCCCGGGACGTCAACCATAAACCAGATAGAACGGATTATGAACGCCATCAGTCGACCGAGTCGTGCCGATATCGAAAGTATCGGTGAGTTGTTATTACTGAAGTTGGTCTCGCCGTTCTTCGATCCATCATCCTTTCTGTAGAGCTGATTGGTAGGTGTAGACAAATTTTGACGATTTGGTCATGCCTGTAAAGTTGCACGGAAAGCTTTTCTGGTAAAGGGGTCTGGAATTAGGAACCAAAAGAAATATTTGTGATCTCAGGATGAGCCGTGGATGCTTCGTGTAGGTGTCTAGATCACTAATTGGTAATGGAAGAATTGGTAAGGGGAAGGTATGAGGGATTGACCGGAGGAATATGAGGTTGGCTGGGCGGGATCAGGGGATAAATGGGTTTCGGGTGCTATCGTAACTTGAGGGGCATCGTGGCGACAGCGTATTTAAAACCGCGTTGAGAATCAGCGGGCTAAAGCTTGTGGGAAAGTAGGGTGGGGGGGGGTACTCCAGAATGCGCGAGATTTTCTCGAATTCTTTGAGTTTCCTCCAACCCCCTCCCTAATGGAATAAGATCTGGAAGTTGATCCAAGCTTTGCGATAAGGTCGAGTATTAAATGGGCCTCGTGCTCAGAGATGTCCCTTGGTACAGTTATTAGTGTCACACAGCTTCCCATGTGTGGGAAGCAACCCAAAAATTGTTATCGTTTTGATTTTCACTGTCCTTAAATCGCTTACCTGTGATGGCTGCGTAACTCTCTGGTGAATAAAATTTCTGCTCCGTATTGTCAGCGGGTTTACTTCCTACCACTTGCGTCATCTCATTAGTTTTCAGCTGTATAGCAGGCAGCTAGACAAGATAGAAGATTTCGAAGTTTGCGAATGGGTGAACTGATAAACAATCTGAAGTCACTGATAGCTGATAGGGAGTGATAAGTGTGATAATGAGAGAAATCCGAATGATAGTACCAATGGGATGGTAAAGTACCATGTTGTTATCAGTTGATGCTAAGGGTCAATTGGGAAGTATATAAAGGATCATAGCAACCTACGAGATGTAATGGATAATGGTCATTTCTTACAGGACTGTCTAGTTGAGTGTTTTGCCCGTGCCTGGAGACAGCACAGAAGAAATAACGCGAATCTAACTTTTAGTGAGCCGTGTATTCCGAGGCGTACGAACTAGATCGGACGTCAACCCGCAATGCACCATGGGTAGAGTGGGAAGACTGTGCAGGTTGCGGTAGCCCTCAATTTTGCACAGCGTGCAGCTAGGAGGGGGATTTTTGTGAAGGGACTCCATTTTTATAGCTGCTGGGAGCGCCGTCCCCCATAGGTTTGCAATCCTCCCGAATTTCCTGGAAATGTACGAGTCACCGTCACCCTAGTGCGTCATAACAGGCTGCCCGTCAACCCGAGACACATTACGCCGGCATTATTTTCATGGCCCATAGCTGAGAACATGTCATGGGATCATTAATAACCAAGGAAAGTTCAGAAATACCACCTTAGGCTTCATTTTGGGGCTTTTATGGCGCGCTATCTGCATCTTTACACGCAATACAATTTATTTTACGATATACGGTAGTATTGTTCTGCGCTGCTGCCATAGTTTGTTCCCATTTATGAGAACCTGGAGAAATTACAGTGAGAGAGGAATTCAATGCATTCCTTCTCCATTCTAAGTTTTCTAGTTCGGCGCTAGAGCATGAAGCCTACCTCCCTTCCTCCCCTACTTGCCCTCCGAAAAAGTCACCAAGTTTTCCTCTGGCACCTCGGCTATGTTCAGTGTCCTGATTACGGATCTCACATTCGTTCTGACGTTGTCGCCCTTGAGAGAAGCGGTTTTCTATCCTTTTTGGGGTTGTACTGTTGCGCGTCTGACGTTTTTAGGTCCATTCCAAGTAGAAGGATTCACGGCGCAATAGTTGGAGCCCCAAGGTAATTTCAATTTTTGCAGAGAGAGCAAACCCCGGAGACAACAAAGTATTTCGCTTCCACTTTGACACCCAGCCCGGAGTTTCCTTATGCAAAAATGGTAATGCTGTAGGCGGCACGAACCATTGCCAGCCCCTTATTGGAATACCCGTTTCTTCGAGCCGAACAGCATGTAGCGCAGAAGGGATCCTTAAAGGACCTACCGAAAATCGATTTTTTCTTTTAGGTAGTCACTACGCGCTGTCGGTACTCGAGAAGATGCCGCAAAGGCCTCGAAAAACCCTGGACACCATGATCAACACCAATAATCCTCATGCACTTGATCTCATTCATAGGTGAGTATCAAGTCGTCATTGTCCTGTTTTCCTAATGGTTATCGAATTTTTTGTCAGGCTATTGATTTTTGCGCCTCACCGACGGTTAACTGTGGAGCAATGCTTGGTTCATCCGTATGTTGTGCAATTTCATAATCCGGCTGATGAGCCGGTGCTACCGTATGATGTGAGTGTATTATGTTTAAGGGTGTCCCCCAAGAGGCCCGTCGCGCGGCGAAGGAAGAGACGCAGACGCGGCAAAGGACGAGTCGCAGCGCATACTGTAGCGGTTAGGCGTCAGGTTAAATAGAGTGTACCATACTACGTCTCATATCGCACAGCACGCTGCTGCGACTCGTCCTTTGCCGCATCTGCGTCTCTTCCTTCGCCGCGCGCGGGGCCTCTTGGGGGACACCCGATTGTTTAATTTCGGTCTATTCCAATAAGGGGTGGCGCGGCATGTTGGGCGACGGTTAAATGCCGCTACGAGTAACTCCAATTTTGTAAAGGAGGAACTCATAGTGCGTGAACCGTTTCGTTTCCGCTTCTGCGCCCACCCCTAGTTCCATTTTTCTGGAAAAATTGGGTTACGGTAGCGAAGTGTTGCACAACATGCCACCCCCCCCCCTTATGGCTCGTTTTATTTTTTAGGCCGGGGTATAAAAGCTGAGTTGCTGACTTCCTTTACTGGGACCTGATTATGTGGCGCCGTGGCCTCAAGTTCCAAGGGAATTGGTTAGGCCATGCTTTTTTTTGTTTCCATTGCAGGAATGAGACTCCGCCAGCGTATATTCGCACCAGAATTAACAGACAGTGAGGCTGCTAGAAAAAATGCTGCAATGAATTAGGTGGATTATTACTTGAAAACTCCAGTCAACGTCAAAACGGGACGTCCTGTCCTAATCATCCGACAAATAAGCGTGCCGTGGCGCTGCGGTCATCAAATGATCAAAAATTCATGTACTGCTTTGATGGGAAACTTCTCAATTTTAGTGTTTTTTTTCATTTACCCGAAAGTGTGAACGTCAAGCGTTGCTCAACCTTTTGGAATTCTCTATTCAGAATGGGAAAATCCGTACTCCATATAGCAGTCTCTTCATGGCCCACACCTTAACCGCTACTTGTCCGCATATAAAGAGTTAGAAGAGTTGAATTAAGTTCCTTTCTCCTCATTCTAGCCCACTTTGATTATTTTGCCCTTGAGGGACGTAGGAATAAGCATGAGCGCGACGGACTTGCGGTCCATTTGCCACTTGCAACTGCTCCACTGCCTTCCTATCTATACTCTATTTCGGAAGACGAGAAGAAAATCGAGTGCAGACCACACATCATAAGAGACGACGGCCAAGAGAGAAAAGGCTTTTTTCCTTGGCCGTCGTCTCTTATGGTGTGTGGTCTGCACTCGATTTTCTCGTCTTCCGAAATCGAGGTATTTATGCCTCTCTTCCGCAGTGGCTATGACGTGATTGCACGACCAAGCCAATACACTGGCGGCCAAACTTCAAAAAAACTTATATGAATGTGTTTGGTGCTTGTGATGCTATCTGATGCCACGGGCCTGTTGCTATGTCTGTAATCACGACACGTCCAATTCTGGGAAACAAAGCTCAAAAGAATAACTTCATCATTAAATGTTGGCTACGTCGACTGCTCTGCTAGAACTTCACTATATTGTATTTTATGAATTACAGGTAAATCTACCGCTACCCGATCATATCCAGTTATCGATTGACGATTACCGGAACAAATTGTATGACATGATGAACAGAAGAAAACACACATTCGACGGATACAGCACGACAAAATTAAGCTGGTAGGTGCAGCCAGAAGGAGTTTTTGGAAGCATCAATGACTTTACTGCAAATAGTCCAGATAGAGCGCGGCCCAGACGACGTACGGCCGCGGGCACCGCGGGTGAACGGAAAAAAAAAAAAAAAAAAACCCGGCAACACCGATGCGGAATGGTAATGTGAGAGGTGCAGCTGCCCATCGCGCAGGCGGCAGTTTGCCAGTGATATCGGACTACGAACAGCGGAGAAGTAGTGGCTCGAGCGGCAGTAGTACGAGAAGAACGGATAGTCTGCCACAGTGGCAGCATCGTAGAGGCTACCGGCTTTGGCATTCACTGTACTGAGGGTGAGTGTAGTAGTGGTGCGTGGCAAGCTGTGACTATACTCGGCGAAATTACAACCAACGACGCCTGTTTTCTCAACTTGAGAGAATATGGTTTTTTTCACATCTTTCCGCTCCAATACAGCGTTGATCATGCAGAGAAGACATTGGCTGGGGAAGGACACCAATTCAGCTACCTGGCAGCCAGTGGTGGCGTTTATGCATAGTCATCGAGTAAGCTTGCAGCCAGCTTCCACGCAAAACATAATTATCGATCGCAGCATGGGTGGGGTTCAGGTGGAAAGCTGTCTGCTTGCTGAAAAATTACAAATCCAAAACATAAGGTAAGGTAGGGTATACCGTAACCTACAGGAACCTGAAACCTTCTGTTCTGTCTGACTATTCGTCCTGAATTTTTCCTTTACATTCTCTTTCTCCCAGGCTTTCAAATAAAGCCTAATGAGGACGTGCACGGTACTTTGGGGTGGTTTCTAGAGGTGGTAGTGGTATATTTTTATAGGAATTTAGGATGGTTTCTGAAAGGAGTGCCCTTTTTCGCAGGTAAAGATGATGACAGGGACACACTAGATTTTTGCTCATCAATTTCTTTCCGCGTAGGTGACACTATCGCAAAATAAAGTCTGTAATGATCGGGTACACTCGTGCCTACAGTGTAGTCACCGCAGAAAAGGGTGCGCCCGACCACTCCAAACTGTAGCCAACCCGTGACGTATTTGTACGGCCATTCTATTCGGAAATCTCCCTTTTTCGGCACCCTGGGACCTTGAAAATTTTTTATTCTTCTCTAGTGACCTCAAAAATTCAAAAATAATCTGTAGGGTAGCATTAGTTGAAGGGGCGGAGCGTGCTGTGCGTCAGCGGTCGCGGCGCATTTTCATGGATTTAGTGCAGTTGTATTTTCTGCCTTCTGGTGGTTTTTTTTCGAATTTCAGTTGGTAAATAAAACCGAGGGTAATAAAACCTGTCTTGTCCGATTAAAGATGAGTTTTCTTATAAATTCTAAACTATCATTATCAAATTTGACTCTTCGAAATACTGTTACTTAAATATGTTATTGACTCATTCTCTGAGCACGCGTTGCGACCGCTCGCGTATGAATCCATCTATGCTTTGTTTACGGTCAATCGTTGTGGTAAGAAAAAAGTGAGGCACGCGCGGCCTTGAATCTGTACATAAAGAGACCCTTTCCTATCATACTACCCCCCCCCCCTGTCCCTATGTAAGTACTACGTACTCTTACTTCCGGCCTCCAACCTGAAATCTCTTTCCATAACTGACCGGGCGAGGTGGGGAGGTGCGAATTTCCATAAATTTCGCGAAAATGCTCCCTACATGCCGGGGAATTTTCCTCCCGTATTTTTTATAAGAAAGCAAAACCAATTACCCGAATAAGTCTCTCGAAAAATCGCGAATACGACCTGTTGACCGGGAATTTCCCACGATGTACTCCGACTTTACATCATCCCTCCGTTAGATTTGAAGGGTACACTCTAACCAAACATTCCTTCAGAAAGTGACGCTCCCTTGTAATCTATGCGCCTCTCAGAGGTCCTGAAAATGGTTTCAAACCCAATAAATAAAATTGCAGGTTTAGTTACGCACTTCATTTTCCCCAAAAAAATCAATAATTTTCAGAACGTGCACAATCGGCCGATTCACGAACATCCAAAGGAAATGGTACGGCCAAAGGTCGGAGGCGATCAATCGAACGACCAAGAATGTTTAGCGGAATTAAGCCGAGTCGGCTAATGCATCCGCATAAGCTCATCTCAAATTATTAACCTTGCCCCGATCGCTCGACACCGTAAGCGAGTCCGATGATGCACTGTTTTCTGCGCGGGACCCAATAGAATGCTCAAGATCCATGTATTCTTCTTCTGATAAACTAGGTGTCTTTGACATTTGTCTGGGCCTAAGCGGGACTTTTTTCGATGCGGCCTTCCATGGTGGGCGGAGCTTCCCGTTGTGGGCGGGGCTTCCCTACAGAGGAGGGCATTATTCACCAAATCATCCCAAGACAGAAAGCGGTGCATCTGTGGCTTATAGCGCCACGAATCTTCACTTCTCATGATCTCAGCAAACGATCTCAATTTTCTAGTCGCAGCAATTTGTATCAATATGCACATTTTTTCGCTTAGCATTAGAGACGGGGAGTGTGCAGACAGGGAGAGTGGCCAGAAAACTCTGCTTCTCTACCTTTGCAATATCACGGCTAAATAGGCATAGTTGTGAACGGTCTCCAAGACTGCAGGGATCGAATATCTGTGTGTTCTATCATGCCACGTCCAATTGTGTGGGCGTGGCTTGTTGTAAAGAAGGCGTGGCTTCCCTGTCGTTATTTTTCACGATTCCACTGCGTGTGATAATATTTGTAGCGATTTTTAGTTTCCCTTCACTAAATTTAGTTCGCTTTGCCGTCTCCCCGTCACCAACACCGAAAATGGTCCTGCATATACATAGACATACAACGACGAGTTTGTATTACTCCAGTTGAATTGTTGTTTTTATTGTCTTTCATTCAGATATCGTCTCCTACATGTTGAATGGATGCTATTGTGCGTTTGTTTGTTTGTTGTCGTTTCCAGTACACAATAATACTTGTATACGGGGAAGAAGAAAATGAAATAAATAAATTTTTCCATGGACTTTTATTTCGGTGTCCAAGTTTTTTTTCGCAACCGTTTGCAGCGGGTTGTGTACCGCCGAATGCGTCGCTAAATCCTGATCTGAAATCTATTTTCTGCTCCTATTTTCTGCTCCTAAATAGCGATTTTTTTGAAGGGAGTTATGAGGCCCTTACTGAACGCTTGAACTTTCACAATAGAGATTTCGGACAGACGATCGGATAGAGAATCATATGCAGTGCAAGTGAAGTGAGAGGAAAGGGAAGCGGCTGCAACATTTGCTCGCAGGTTCGAATTCGGCATGCATCATTGTGTTGGCCTTTTGAAAAGTCCTTGGCGTATGTTTTGATACATATTTTCTAATTTTCTTCTACTATTATGACATTTTTACCATTATTTCTGATATCTTTCCACTGTTTGCGAATTGGCTGCGCATGCTAGTTTTTTTGCTTACTTTTTCCACGATTTCTATTACTTCCTTTATTGTCCATAAGGTGTTACTTCCCAAAATCGGACAAAATTTGACGACTAACCATCAGTTCAAACTTTTCGGAAAGGTACATCTTCTTGGCACGTATATCCATGACAGTGGTAAAGGAGATTACGCCATGCACCCGCCTCCTCAACGATTGAATGCGATGTATAGCAAATTTTGCAAAGTCAAAAAAAATATTCAAAAGCAAACCACCCTTCAATTCCAGGGATATACAGCTACATGTACAATAATGGAAGTTGTGGATACCGGTCCAAGCTAAAAATAAAAAAGCACAAGAAAACCGTCGACAACAGCCTCATAAGGATTTCCTCAATTTAAGAACAGACGGCGGGCCGGACGCGCTGTGCGAACTGCACTCCATCGGTTCAGACTAACCCCGCGCGTATTTGGATTACCGCTTACCCGTATCTATTTGCGATGTTAAAGGGATGTGCGTGACGTAACTCGTGCCTAAGTGCCCCACCCACGGAACGCACTTCTGCTGAGAGTGTTATTTTGAAAACTGCTGGTGTCTTATTTTGAATAATATATTATAGTTGAACAAGTATAATTGATATTGATTTATGAGATTCGTTATTAAGCTTGCAATCATATACAAGTAACCGTAATATCTAGATATGTACATTAGGCTTGTTTTGGTGGCACAGTAGGCGGATTCACTGGATCGCCAGTGCATCCAACGGCTCCCCATTCGTAGATGTAGACGTTGTAGTACCGGTGATGATCGTAGAATGAGACGTCGATGTTCTGGTCGCTACACGCTTGGCTCTCCTGCTCGTCGCATTCAATGTAATCATCTGTTGTCATGTCATTGTTGTAGAATACCTGGAATACATAGCTTGGTCAACTGGCTCGGCGGCAAGAGGACCACTGTCAGAAAATCGTCCGTGGATCGGGTGGTGCTCAAGCCTGCGCCAATAATGAACTTTTATCCTGACATGTATGGTTACCAATAGGTAGGTAAGAGCAATTTTCGGACGAACCAAAACATAAGCTGCGCATGGGATTTGGGCTCTGGGCTTGGAGGCGCGCCCAGGGTTACCAGAAACCCAGGTCTTCCGTCCACAGGGCGATTTAGTGCCCAAGAGCATGCCTAAAGCTCATTCTAACGGATTTGTGGCAGAGGCGATTCTGGATAAATCTTTGTGGCAAGTTTGAAAGAACCTAAAACTTCGACCGGAATACGGAAATCGGAAATATAAGTTGGAAAATGGTAAAATACCTCCGACTTGTGGTGTCTGTAGTTGTGATATCCTCGTGGTGGACTGTGTGGGATCACGTCGTGGGCATGAATGACTCGGAACGAATATGGAATCTGCAAATGAACTGTCAATAGGGAACTAACGAAGTACAGTAAATAGCCACCATTTCCATCTTCTCAAGCTTGATTTTGCTTAGCGCGCAGTTTTGGACTATTCCTATTGGTTGTTGGGCTCCTATGAGCGTAAATCAATAAATTCTATCCAAAAATCGATATATCATCTAGAAAACGTGGTGTTATGAAAAGTGCCACTAACTTCTCATCGCCTCGGTTTTTCAGTAAGGGAATACATTTTTAAGCAAATCATAACGGTTCTCCAAAAGACAACTCCTGTAAATTGGATTTACCGGACCAATCATGTGACGAGCAGCCTGTATCAAACTCCGCCCAATTGACCCATTGGTCAATTTCCTACTCAGTAGAGCAAAAAATCAATCCCATTAAAGTTGTCCTCCAGGAGTAGTTGGTGGTCCTGATCATGAATATGACATCCGTTTTTGACGCCGGCGCCATTTGACGATAGTTTGATGCCGATGACTTATTGGAAAACTCCAGAGAGCTGAACGGTCGCCAAATGGCGCCAGCGCCAAAACTGAAAGTTGGATTTGCCACCAGCGCCATCAAAACACCTTTGTGTATGCTCACAGCGAGTTTTGGAACAAGTTACAGCACCACAATGACGTCAAATGACGCCAGGGCTGAAACTGAACCTCAGATTTGCGGACAGGACCATTGTACCCCCGCAAGAGAATTATGACGGAAATAAAATTTGTTGTTTATTGCACCCTCTGTGGTCATAATAGTGGATATATAGCCCGAATTCTGGTCTAAAGCTCGAAAAGGCCGCTAAAACGAGTGCAGTGATCCGACGTACCTGACTGTCATGTACCGTTGCAAAGTCAGCGTCACCGGTTCTTGGCTGGCCGAAAGTCACCAATTTGATCATGTTTCCATCGAACAGCTTCACTTTTGCGATGTATGAGGCAGCCAGCGATGCCATTGATCCGCCAAGGGAATGTCCCACAATCTGGAAAAGATTAGCGCTAGAAGTACTTCTATGACACTATAAAGGCAAGCCCAGTATAAAACTGGTGATAAGAGCGCTTCGTAGTGATGACTGAGCTGCGGGACGGCCTGAAAGTGGAAAGGAAAGCTAGAGAAATCTTTGGGATCGCTGAAATTAAGGCCTTAACCTTCAAAAAGGTCGGATGTGGAACGATGGCGAGGCAGGGCGGTCAAAGAAGACAAAATACGCGAGAGACCTTTCATTTCCTTCGTGGTATCCTTCTCACAAGTCGGACTAATGCCGGGGTTTGCCTCCAGCACTTTACTGCCCCAGTCCTCGAAAATTAATCGCACTGAAGCGTCGCAGTCACAGCGAGTCACCTATTCAGCACAGCCGTACACTCAATAATTTCGAATTGGGCTACGCCTTCCACGTCACGTCATGTAGCGCACAGCCGCACGCGTCTCAAGATTGGCATTTTACTAATGGTAAGATGTAAATTGGATCTTTAGCATTGTCTACGCAAAAGCGCGACTAGCTGTTATCTGCACTGCTGATATACGAATCGCATGTACCAACCATGACCTTTGGCTCGCGACATTGTAATGATTGAAAAGCGAAAAATCGATTATCGATTGAAATTCTTCTTCGAAGGCTCACCCATAGTTCATAATCTTTATATTTGTTTGCAAGTGTCAAGAAATCGTCCTTGATTCCTCCATTCCATACCGAGAAGAATGCGTTGTAGAAATACTTGGATACGGCACCACCGGCGATCCAAGGTACCTGGAATGAACATTGGTTTGAAACTAATTTATGATACAAAATAATTCTACCGGCTTGGCTAGTGGCTCGAAAGTGCACAGCAGCGGCGCTAGGGCTTTACAAAGTGAACTTAATGTGAACTTATGGACGAGATACCTCGCGCACACCCCATGATACGCAGAGTGGATTACGATGTAGCGGCCAAATCACGCGCGGGTTAGCGGGCCGTGGAGCGAGCGAGTCCAGAAAACTCGTCCAGCCCCGCCCCTTCATGGAGGAGGAGAGGAAATACTTGTTAATGGCTCCATCGACGGTTTCCTTTGCTCCATTTTTAGTTTTGGTTA